AACACAAAATATTTAACAAATTGATACTACTTAATATATAAACGTACATGGTGATGGTGATTCATTATGTAAAAGGAAATATGATTTATTGTTTTTAGTATTAACATACTTGTATCGAAGAAAAAAAATACTTATAATAAATTAGTAAATAAGTTAATTGTTCAGTATTATTTTTTTTTTAAAGTATATAAGATGTAAAAAAGGTAATTTTTTATTATAGATCTAATATGACCTGTAGTCTAGATCTTAATATCCGTAAGTTTTTGATATCAATCTGCCCTCTTTTTCCTACATTTTTCTTATACGAATACCTAAATTTTATAATAAACTATTAGATTCAGGTTCTTAATTTGTTTTCGTAAAAAGTCGGTTAGATAATTTAAGTTTGACCAAAAAATCATGAAAATATAATAAAATTTCCTAATGTGTACATAAATTAAATACGAATGGCATAAATTTGAATACAATTTTCTTTACAATTTATTTTATGAGTAAAAGGAAACATTTTTGAATTTCACAAAAACATTTCGTACGCATAAGAAGTTTTAATTCTGACAATATCGAGTACTTTAACTACCAAAAATTACTTTAGCAATTTTACTATATTAAATATTTTTTTATAAACCAAGTGAATGAATAAATTGTATGTATAATATGTAGTTATACTTACTTTTTTTACTTCCATTTAAATCTATAACTCAATTTTTGAAATGCAATACCGCGTTATTAATCCTGGACGGATCGACTACAGGTTTTTTTCCAGCCATTTTTAATAATAAAGGTAATAAATTATTAAGATTTTTAATAAAATAATATTTTTATTTTAAAATAATCTCTCAAAAAATCCAAATTAAATATTTTATATAAACACTGCACTCTAATCAAAGCTTATATGGTAAACACAACACTGAAGAGCTAAATGACTAAAATGAACAGTTATTTATATAATATAGGAGTATATCATAAATACGAGTAAGATACGTACTATCGGATATTTCTTAAGAAAATAAAAATAATTACTATTTTTATTCCATGCCAATGTTATCGAACATACAAATGTCTAAAATAGAAATAGTATGTTTGCAATATGCCTTTGTATAAATACTAATAAAAAAATTATGAATATAATGATATAAGAAATTTTAATCATACGGAATTCTTCTAAAATACTTTGAATTTTGTTAATATAACACTTTGCTAATCATAAAAGCGGTAAAGTAGTTGTTCAAATTCATATAAATTACGTACTAATTATAAGCATGAAAAAAAAATCACACATATCTGGATGGAGGAGGGGGGCAGGGTAATGGACGTTGAATCGAATTTATATCATATTAGGATATAATTCTGGTTGTGCGAAAAAAATATGCCTAGTCATAAACATCCAAGCTATGGTTATTACCTATACACTATTCAGAATAACATTGTGCCCTTTTGCACATGCAACTGAGCCGCCGGTAGTCATCCGATCCCTTCCCCAACCAGAGTATATGAGTATAAGAATATAAATACAATGAATATAAGTGTAGGCCCTACAGTGGTATATCAAGATATAATAATAGTAAAAATGTGTGGCCCACACGGCGCACACTAAATAATAATAATAATATAATAATAATTTGCCCTTGACGGCTAGGCCTGTCAGCCTTTACACAAGTAATCGAAATAAATATGGTCGACCAATACTCATATGTGACTGTGATTGATGGCGGATTTTATCCCAAAGCAACCACACCAGCACAGTGACTTAACAAATGTCTACGACGGCACACCGCAGTGTACGAAAAAAATAAGTCACAGAACTTGATACGTGCGACCACCCATGCACAGTCACCAACGAAGACGGAGGTTCTACATTGCAGACGAAGACAATACGAATGAAAACCACGTTAATCACAATGGCTGTTGGTAAGTGACCACCCTAGACAGGGGCACCATTTGGAGAGAAGCAGGGTGTGCACTCACGCATGCTGGATTTTTTTCATCTTTAATTATTGGCCTAGGCATCACTGATACATGGCCTTACCACTTTGGCCTTCAGTTTTCCAATCTTTAATGTTGTACATACACCGCGGCTGATCAGTAATCACTGCTAATCATAAATGTTGGCCTGGTGGTGGTAAAAAATTAGCCTCTTTAATTGCTTGCACACCCTTAAAAAAAACTTAAATGACGCCCTCGTATTTATTTCTTAATAACGATTATTTTATTCGTCGTACATCTGGAGTGATGATGGTTATCGAACGTTTCCGTTTTCATATATAACGTTTTGGGTTTCTTATAATTACATGAATTCAGTTCGATTGTAATAAATAATGATCACTCCTACGTTAAGTACGTTTAATATTCATATTTCATATAATAAAAAATGGCACTTGAATTTTTAGTGACATATTAACAATCCATTTAGTTTTTTTTAGCTCTCTGATTTCTTTTCTGTTTCGCTCGTTTACAAATATGTTGTCGAAAAATGATCGGCATTCATCTGATAGTCGTTGTATTTCGTTAGAATTAAAGTTGTGTCCTGCTTCCTGACTTTTCATTACCTGTTAACAGTTGTTTGATTTGATATTGAAATCTTAGTTTGAAGTTAGACAGAATCCTATTCCACGCGTACATGTGCAATGTGTATGGCATACATTGTGCATACAGAACGACCCAGTAAAAAAAAGAAAAAAAAATCTGTTAATTAAATCATCCTGTCGTTTGTTTTAAAAAGTAAATTTATTTATTTATTTTTCTTCATTTATCAAAAATTAATTGTGTTGGTATTAAAATTAACTTTTATGAATTATTTCGTTCTTTATCTCTTAAATGTTAAAAAAAAAGTTTAAAAAATGTTTGAGTTCTGAAACTCTAAACAGTTTAGAACTATTGGCTATTATCGTTTTTCTTCGTAACCCTTCTTATATATAAAATGCTTAATAATCTTAAACATATTTCTAAACGTGTTGAAATAATACACCCGTACGCCCATCAAAGACTAAACGATTGATCGATGTATTTTAATTGTATGTGCACGGGTTCATTGATGATTTCCTACCCCCTGCCCGATCGAATGACAGCCACCGGATTCGTTTCGTATCGCTAGATTGTTTTTACCGTTGACCCTCTCATCCCCTGTTTCATCCATTGCAACAGTGGCATAGCCCAGGAGGATGGGGGCTAAGGGGGCTATTGCCCTCTCCTTATGGATTGAATGTATGTGTATTTACTAAATTAATTTAATACTATTTGGAATTCCAATATTTTAAAACTTTGGTACAAACTAAATGTAGACGAATAACGGGTATTTGTCATTGGTAAATACATAAGCGTTAGGGCCGCCTAGAACTTTAGAGGGCTCCCTGGACTGGCAGTGGCGTATATAGGTTTTCATTTGGAAGAGGGCTGATTATGTATTTGATTTTTGGGTGAAAGGGAAGGAGGAAGCACACTATTACAAAAAAAAATTACTTTAACACTATAATACTTTTCGACTGTCTTTACACCACTAGAGAAATAAGAAACTCAATTTTTACATTGTAATAAACAAATTTTTTATTAGAGTCACTCAAAATTCACCACATATTTTCTTAAAAGAATAAACTTTTTTTATAAATATAAAATTTTAAATTATCGCATTAGCAACATTCTCAGTGTTGTGACAAATTTTCGGAAACCCCTAGCATTAAGACATATCTATGTTAAAAATAACAATCTTTAACAATGCTGTTTTTCATTTCGGAGGGGGCCCGGACCCCCTCGGCCACTCCCCATAAATACGCCATTGGTTCCAGGTTTTTTTTTACTTACAATGATGTAAATACTATTTGTACATATTTGTATATACTTTAGTACAGTAAAAATATTTAAATTTGTATCTTACGTTATGGCGAATGAGATAATAAAATAATTTTGTATAACGACGGGCCTTCTTGGAGGTACGGGCACCGGGACTCTATCCTTCCCTGCCCCACCCTATTACCGGCACAGCGTATTACTTCAACCGTGATTAGTATTATCTTTTTAGTAGTTATCGTGAACGTTGTAGCATACTCATTCAACACTAACATTTTACAATCGTTACAGTTTTTATTCTACGTTATATCGTGACCGTGCTACCACAGCTGACCACCGTTAATTTATTACTATTATTATTAATCATATTTTAATAAATACTTTTAAAACTATTTCAAAAAACTGGAAATGCGTTTTTAAATTTGACGATGGTGGATTTATGCGGAAACTCTCAAAGCATTTCTAAACATAACCTACCCAAGAACATGTTCTTCTCGTCTAAAAATCCTGGCTACGCCATTCCGCATCACGGTGCCGATTCGATCGTGTCCGTTTGCATTCACATGCCCCCCCCCCCTGAAAACAAACCTCCCTCCAGCGCGTTCGTTGTTCGCCCTAACCCAGCGGTTCTCAAATAGGGTGACATGTCACCCAAGGGAGACATTGACACAGTGTATGGGTGACACGAACTATCCCAGGGAAAAGGAAAAAAATAATTAATTTTAATAAAATCATATTATTGCCACAACTGTGATGTAAATATCATATCTTTAAGTTCTTGTTTTTATATTGTTTAGATAAAATATTGCGAAATCGCTGCATTATCGATTATCGTATTGATTTGACCGGGGTCGTTAGTCAGTTATTTTGTAGTCGCTAGATAAGTAGTGTTGTAGTTCTACAACTCTAGAAGACAATACGAGAATCGGTCTTTCCACCATTAACCCTTGACTTCCTCAACTTTGTAAAAACCACCGGGGCCCAATTTCTCATCAGTTGTCGTACAAATCACTTTTATTTTTTTTTTTCATTTGCAAATTTAAACTTTTAACCGTCAACGTGTTATATGAACCCTGCAACTCAAATAAATTGTGGGTGTACTTATTATTTTTCTGATTCTTATTTTTATTTTTCTATCTTGATATATGGGTTACGCGGTGTTCGATTCTAGTGGCTAAAGGTGACACGGGCGAGAAAAGGATGTGGATCACTGCCCTAAACTAACGCACCAGTAGCGGGTCGTCGGCGCGCCCGTCCACGCATGGGAACGGGAACCGTCCGGTCACCAGGCAGTGGAGCAGCACGCCGGCGGCCCAGACGTCGGCCAGCTGTCCGTGGTACGGGCCGTGGGCCAGCAGTTCGGGCGACATGTACAGCGAGCTGCCGCACACCGACCGGCACGGGACGACGACGGGGACGCGGCCGACGGGACGGCGGCGGTCGGGTCGCGTCACGGCCGCGCACATGCCGAAGTCGGCCAGCCGGACGCGACGCCGCCGGTCCAGCAGCACGTTGTCCATTTTAACGTCGCGGTGCGCAAAACCGCGGTCGTGTACGTACTCGAGCGCCGAGCACAGCTGCGCGAACCACACGTACGCCTCGCTCTCGCCCGTGTACTCCACCTCGTCGTAGTAGTCCAACAACGTGCCGTCCGTCCAGTACTCCATGACCAGGTACAGCCTGCGCACCCGCCGTCCAATGACATCTTATTCGTCGATCGTTATCAGTTTTTTCCTACCTTTTCGTCGTCTCGATGATCTCGTGGTACGCGTTGATGTACGGATGGTCGAACAGATCGGCGAACTGTTTCTCGTTGTTAACGGACCACTGCAACGCGCAATTCATCGCGCCGCGATCCGACGACTTTTCGATCACTTTGATCGCCATCTGCCGGTGATGCCGCGCGGACCTGGCCACCACCACCACTCCGAACCCTCCTTTGGCCACGCGCTCGATAACAGTGTAACCTCGCTTCGTCAGAGTGTTCCGCTGCATTTGCTCGTCTTCTCCAAACATCCCCAACGGTTAAAATCAAGTATACAGCCCTGTGCGTTTGAAAATTTTGTACGAGTGCAATTTTTACGTGCGGGCAACGTTCTTTTTCGTTTTACGAAATGCGACAGAACAAGAAACGAAACATCCACTGTCAGATAACTTTTGTTTGTTCGTAGCCAATGAATACAAAACCGATTGTTATTATCACCAGCCATGATAGAACGAACATTTCATTACGTACTACAAGTGGTGTCCGATAGTAGTAGTATAATTATGACAGTTCTGACACCATATCCTGCATATCCTCCTTATCTTTCCGAACCACCACCACCCGATCACGCACGTGCACGACACACGTCACAGACTTCCCACCTCCACTACTACAGACGTCACTACAAACCCCACCGGCAGTGACGCAGCGTTCCCAGAAATATTATTGCCGCCTCCGTCACCGTCGCAACATTTGTCGCCGACGACCTCACCGCTGCAGCGATCGTGTTCGTTTCTGCCCACCCCCTCCATCTCCCACCACTACTTATTGTATATTATTGGCCGGCCGTGTTTTTGTTAATATCCGATATCAGTTGTGATAATATAAAATGTGATTCTATTAACGGATAATGTTATCGTACAGGTGATAACACATTTGAAAACATAAAGAATATTATTGATAATATTTAAAATAAATACAATATCTGGATAAGAATCGAACTGGAGATGCTTAGAATGTTGTATCCACTTAGACTCTTACATCCATTATTAATATGTAATTAATTTAACGTATTTCAGTTCGTACATAAGTCTCTTGATATAATTCAGAGTATGTATATCAAAATGTGTAATTAGCCATATCTCTCTTCGTTAATATTTCCGATAAAAAAATGTGATTATTATTAGAATATGCCATTTAAATGTACTATTAAAAAACTATTAAAAAATATTTAAAATATATTAATTTTATTTTCGGCCTTTATAAACAATTACTATTATTATTATTA